CCCGTGTCCCTAGGAATGCAGGAAGCGGCCTTAAATCAGACTATCGGTCATCTGGCTCAGAAGTGTTTCCACTGACTAGCAGAATCTCTCCAGGATTTCAGATAGGGGTCTTTCCCAGTCTACCTTGAACCCAGGACTTCATACATGGGAAACAGGCGCTCTGTCAGTGAGCCATAGACTATGCAGCTCAGCTCTGAATGTGTTTTCTTCTTTTTGTTTTGTTATGGTTTATAACTAAAGAAATAAATAGCTCTGGACCTTCCTCCTGAAGATAGATTCTATTGCTTTTCATGCAGTCCATATAATCCTCTTCTTCCAATTCAGAATCCGTCTCTCGAGAAGCCGAAATTTGTGCTCTTCAAGTCACACAGCGTTTTTAATTTAAAATGCACCGATTCGAGATGGCGTACAAATAATAAAGGCCGAGCTATAAATCAAATCGTATCACTAAAGCTTTGTCTTAACCTTTGACTGGCATCACTGGGAAAGGGGTGGGGGAGGGAAATCAGTGGGATATGTTTGAAGAAACCCACGGCAGCCCCCACTTTTCATATCACCCACAAGGCCAGTAATTAAAGCAGAGCAGCCCATATGCACACACAGGCCTCTGCTATTCGTCAAACGAAAGCTGTGAGCCAACCAAGGCTTCGCAGACCTGGTGTGATAGATGAGCACGTTGTAATTGAATTAGTCGAGAGGCATTGACCTTTCTGATGTATCATGCCCCGAAAAATGAACAACAAACCCCAAGTAATGCTTTTATGAATGTGTTGGCTAAGGCAGTCATCAGCTGGCTGATGATAAATAAGGTGGCACGCATTTTCACAAGAAACAAAGTGTAATACACAGGCAGCAATACGCTGAACTGAAAGTTTCCGGGCTTTCTCTGAATCGGAAATTCATCCACAGGAACTTTTGACAGGTGAAGGTTATCTAGGGCTGTGGCAATCAATTAAAGGATTTTTTTAGTTGATGAGGATGGCAATCATATCCTCTGTGGGAATGTTCAGGGATGCAGGAGAGCATATATTGTCTGATTATATCCTTATCCAACTTGTGTTAACAAGTTCCACAATTTCAGCAGAGTAACATTCCCCTTATTTTAAACTTTGCAGCAGCTGCATTTGCTCAGGCTCGCTAAAGCCTCTATAATAACTGTTCTGGTATTTTTCCCCTTTTCCCTCATAAAAGATAAGACACGACACAGTCTTCTACAAAAGTATAAAAAGAGTTTACTCACATTCTGTTCACAATCAGATACCAGAAGGCAGACTTAGTTTAATGAAGTAACATACACTTGGAATCTATCTCATAAGAAGACAGTCCCTTTGTCTTCTCTTGGCTGGATGCCAAGAGGGCATCTTTGGCTTAGTAGATGTTGTTTCTTCGATGCATGTGGTGAAAGAGAGAGAGATGGCTGCCCTGCCCTGTGCTTTTGTCATTACCTGCACAGGTGAGGCCACACCCACCTCTAGTCACATGCAGAGGAAGTCTGTCCCAGCCCAGAAGGAAACAGGAAGTTTACCTGCTGGCTGGACAAACATTCCTCCCCATGTGCAAACATGTTCACTCTAGGAATGTTGTACTTGATTGCTCTTGTGTTTCACATCCTACATCCTCATCCCCCAGGAGGGCATCCTAGGGACCCTGTTCCATTGGGTCTCCCTCTCTGAGGTGGGAGAAGGAACTCTGATCTTGGAGAGAAAGATCTGAGTGGAGTTCCTCCTTCTTCACTGCTGTGGAAAGGCCTGCAGTTCTGGCCTTGCTGGTGTGAGAGCTTAGTTGGGCATGTTAGGAGTGGGTTGGGAGTGTGTTTGTGGTGGAAGGGCCATGGCTGAGTGGTAGAGCACAAGTTTGGTGTGCAAAATGCCCGGGTTTAATCTCTAGCATCTCCATGTAGGGCTGGGAGAGAACCCTGTAGAATCAGCAGTCATCCATTAAAAACATGTTCCATACCCTCCAAAATCTGGGGTGTCATCTTCCTGGACGCCATCTTCCCTTTTTTAATCATGAGAGTACGGCAGCCATTTTGGTTGCCATGATCTCGCGCTATTTCATGCATGCTTTGGGCATGGCGCTCAAAAACATGTGTCTGGGGGCACTGCGCAAGATCGCAACACTTTTTCAGGGGGGAATTGTGCCGTGAAATCGCTTGAGATCACAGCAACCAAAATGGCTGCCGTACTTTTGTGATAAAAAACAGTATGTCCTAGTTTTTGCAGGACACTTGTGGGGTATGCATGTTCTCAGGGTGGTGTACTGCACCAGGCAGTGGGGCAAGGAATAAACTATAAAATATAAAAAATATGGCAGGCACATTTCATGCATTCATTCTTAAATCTATAGCGCGCCCTTCCTCTCAAAAAGCCCAGGTTGGAAAACAACAGAAATACATCTTTTAAAAAAACTATTCCAACACACAGACAGACTGGGAAAGAATTCTGCTTTAATAGGCTTGCTGGAAGAAAAAGGTCTTAAGTAGGCACCAAAACGACAACAGAGATGGCACCTGCCTAATATACAAAGAGAGGGAATTCAAAAAGGTAGTTACCACAACACCAGACCTTCCAAGTGTCCCTATTTTCCAGGGACAGTCCTGGGTTTACAGAAGCCTTCCTGGTTTCTGATTTGATCCTGGAATGTCCCACTTTTTCTGAGGACGCCCCTATTTTCATCGAAGAAATGTTGAAGGCTATGGAGTTAGGTGACCTCTGAGCCATGGAATTAAGTAATTATACAACCTTTAGAATACATCTGTAGAGGGAAGTTTTTAATGTTTAATGTTTTAGTGTGTTTTATTATATGTTAGAAGCTGCCCAGAGTGGCTGGAGCAGCCCAGTCAGTTGAGCGGGGTATAAATGTTGTTGTTGTTGTTGTTGTTGTTGTTGTTGTTGTTGTTGAATTGGACATCCCTATTTTCATCAGAGAAATGTCAGAGGGCATGCAACATTAAAGGCCTGATTCTTACGTTGTGGGTATATAAGGGCCGAGATGATCTTTCAGGTATCCTGCTCCCAAGCTGTATACAGTAGTACCTTGGAACTCAAATGGAATCCATTCCAGAAGTCCGTTCGACTTCCAAAACGTTCGGAAACCCAAGTGTGGCTTCCAATTGGCTGCAGGAAGCTCCTGCAGCCAATCAGAAGCCGTGGAAGCCCCATCGGACATTCGGCTTCTAAGAATAGCCAAAACGTTCCAAAACTAAGTTGTTTGAATACCAAGGTACGACTGTACACAGAAAAGAAGGACCTTGAACATAAAATTGAAACTCATCGTGATAAAACCAGGAGGGTGGAAAACAGGAATACAAAGTATATCTCTGGGCTTATGAGTTTGGACTCAGATATCAATCCACCTTGTGAAAGAACTTCACACTTCCCAGCTAATGATAAGGAACACGGTCAGAAATCTAGGTTCATAATTTCTCCCCGGCTGAGTTGCCATATTAGCTGACAGTGTCTCGGTGGGGCTTCCGATGCTCTGCTAGCATCACTACATGTCAGAATGGATGTTAGATCAATAGGTGTTGCCTTCCCAAGCAACATACGGAACAGAATTAGATGGAAGATGTAATTAAAGGAGATGATAGCACGCAGGCCACTGTTGATCCTCCATCACTGTCTCCTCTTTGATCTATTTGGGATGCAGCCACAGAGTAGCAGAGGGACAGCAGAGGAATTTGATTTGGTTTGACTTTTAGTGGGAAAATCACCTCACTCTCACTTTTTGAGCCAACTGGCAAACCAAAGCACAATTATGCCCCAAAATTCATGCACCTCTGAATTTTGTGATGTTCTCTGTAAGTCGACATGAATTTTCCTGTCAGGGGGAAAAGGCTGGGTATTCATAATCATCATCATCATCATCATCAATCAATCAATCAAACAAACAAACAAATAATATGTTAAAATGCATGTATTAGGGGGAATGTGCATAAAGATGCATGTATTATAGTAACAAACAAATATGCATTGTATTAGGGATAACTGCTTGCAGAAATGTGCCTATTAGTCAGAACTGCATAAAACACACATATTTGGAGAAATCTGCACTTAAACATTGACATTTTATCATGATAGGGGTTTTTTTTTTTTTGTAAAAGAAAATAGCAGATTGCTGCAGAAACATAGCTGAATTTCAGATCGGGGAAATGAGAAACTGAGAGAAACTGAAATTGACAGGTTCGTCAGTCTCATTGCTACTATGAGCCTAGAAAAGTGCAAATACAACATACTAAGTGCTTGCTTGTGCCTGCTCCCCTTAGGCTAGTGGCTGATCTTGCTCTGGGGGATCTATTAGCAGTTAGTGGATTAACCCTAGGCTTGCTGCCTAGGCATCTTGTTTTATAGCACCAGAAACCAGCTCTCAGTTGTTTAGCCCAAAATAAGGCACCCTCCCTCTAGTAATCATGTGACACCACTGAGATCAGGAGGTCAGGAAGAAGAAGCTCTTCCATTGGGAAGGAGCCGGCCACAGGAACTACGATGTGCTCAGCTCCACGCTTCGCCTCTGTGCTTTTTGGATGTTGGGGGACCCAGCCCTCACCCCCAAAATATTTGGGGGCCAAAAGGACTTGGCCCCCAGGAGCTGGCACCCCTGGCCCCAACCCACATTAACCCTATTTATATTTACAGCAAACTCTCTTCAGCTGGCTTTTAGCTTGCTTGCAACGTTTGTCGAGCCAGCTGGAAGTTCCCATTGATCTTCTTGATCCACTGCTCTTGATCTCAGATCTGAAGTGGTCTTGCAACCTGTCAGTCAAGATCTTAAATAAATGTGTGGCCTCAGCAACAGAGGTAGCTGAGATAATAGCAGTATGAATAGCCCTTAAGTCACCTGTATGAAGAAGGTGAGTCAGTGCTATATCGAGTACTGGGGTCCACTTAATTCTGTTGCCCGCAGTCAACACCTAAGTTTGCATTAGAGATCAATGGAGTTTTGGGGGAAGAATTGCTAAGAATTTCTGGGTCTACTAGCACCATTGATAGAGGTAAATATGAGGGCGATCTGGCTGCGACATCTGTCACCCCATTGATCGCCAGGGTTGATTCGGCTGATTTCGCTGGCTACGCTGGTGTCCCCACTCTCCATGTATGTCTCTCCTGAAGCTGCGCACTCAGTGGAAGAGGACACCCATCCCAGACAGAAGGAGTGTACCATTCTTCGGTCAACGGTATACGATAGCTGCGTTCCCCTGCTAGAACCTCCAAACAAGCTCAAGGTCCGCATTAACCCTCCTTTAACCTAAGAAGAGAGGGACGCGGGTGGCGCTGTGGGTTAAACCACAGAGCCTAGGACTTGCCGATTGGAAGTTCGGCGGTTCGAATCCCCATGATGGGGTGAGCTCCCGTTGCTCAGTCCCTGCTCCTGCCAACCTAGCAGTTCAAACGCACCTCAAAGTGCTAGTAGATAAATCGGTACCGCTCCGGTGGGAAGGTAAACGGTGTTTCCATGCGCTGCTCTCATTCGCCAGAAGTGGCTCAGTCATGCTGACCACATGACCCGGAAGCTGTACGCCGGCTCCCTCGGCCAATAAAGCGAGATGAGCGCCACAACCCCAGAGTCGGCCACGATTGGACCTAATGGTCAGGGGTCCCTTTACCTTTTAACCTAAGAAGAGTCCTGCTTTATCAGGCCAAAGACCCATCTGGTCCACTTCTCCCAGTGGCCAACCAGATGCATATGGGGAAACCCTTAAGCAGCACCCAAGTGTAACAGCACTTCCCTATCCTAACAGAACTACAATTCCCAGCTTTCCCTGGAAAGAGGGGTAAACCAATTAACTGGTGTGATTCATATATGCCCAGACTGTTTGTGTAAAACCACAATATCTGGAGATGTGCTCGAGATCTTTTCCCTTCTCCCCCTGCAGCCAGGAAGGAGGGAGGGGTGCGCAAGAGAGACCCATTTGGAAAACTGCAGCCGCTCATTCCTTTCCGAACTCTTGCCGGATGCTGCTCTTTAATTTTGCAGAGTATCAGCGTTCAAGAATCAATGGCATGGGGCCCATAAAGTGCATGGAATAGGGCTGTAAGCAAGAAATACAGTGGACAGGGATTTTAAGGCAGTTTCAGAAAAAGGCTACTCCGATACATAATTTAACAGGGCACTCTGCAGTCGATCGGTTTGAGATGGCTTCTGTCGACCACCAAGCCTCTTAGAACTACTTAGCTCCATTACAGGGCTGGCTAATATGTCAAAAGACAATAAGTGGGTTTGAATTTCTTTATTCTGGGTTTCCGGGGATTTATTATTATTATATATATAAGTTCAAATTTCTTTGAGCTGATGTTTAGCAACAGCACTAGACTACAGCCCAACCATGGCAGGGGGCGGTGATGGGGGGGAGGGCATTTTATCCAGGATTGAGATCATAAAAAGAGACTGCTGGTCGGGTCAATGGCCCATCAAATCCAGCATCCTGCCACACGCATGCCTATGGGAAGCATCCATCCAGTTGCAATTGCCAGCAACTGGTATTCAGAGACATATTACCATCAATAATGGAAGCAGAACACTGCCATTGTGGCTAGTATAGCATTGCCCCCTTTGTTCTGGCAAAATACAGGGCAGGGCAATGGCGGGTGGGGGCACGATTTTGTTTTCATCTGGTGCTGAAGTGACTTCAAAGCAATCTATTGCTGCACAACAGGATGACCTCCCTGGAATTTGTCACACACGCTGGAAGCAAGAAGAATTACCGACGGAAGAAGAATGGTGGATGAAACTGATGGACTATGCGGAATTGGATAAATTAACAGGAAGGATTCGAAACCTGCGGGACCAGAGCTCCTTAGAAGACTGGAGTAAATATATGAACTATTTGAAAAGTAACTGTAATGAACAGATCATGCTAGTAGGGCTGCAAGACTTTTTTTTTTTAAGAATAATTTTTTATTAACCGACCAATCACATCAAATCAAACCAAATTACATAAATTCCAAATTACACAGCCGAATTTTAATTTTTTGTTGGGGGTACCCATATTTCAAGTTCCGAAGGGATCCAATCGACTTCTTGCTTCTTACTGCTGTTTTAATGTCCACAAATCTAACCTTATGATGTTCACAGTACTATCCAGTCCTTTCTTATTATTTTTCCACATCTCTTGTTGTTATTTTCATATATTTTTCCTTTCTCTTTGTGACCTCTGATAGTCTCCACAAGCTGGTTAGAACAGTTTGTAATCCTGCGTGGATATTAATTTTTTTATCCAGTAGACATATCCAGACGTTTTCCATATAACATCACTTCCATACATCAAAACAGTCTTAGCGTCATTAATCTTCACCAATCTGCCTCCTTTCTCAAAACCTCTGAGGAGATTCACTAGGAATGCAGTCTGAAAACAAATCCGTTCTTCCTCCCGGCTATAAATCCTTTGGCAAGATGGTGACTCTGAATTAATTGCTGCGCCATTCCCAAAAGCTCTTATTGCTTCTTGGTCTCCATAAAGCAGACTTTTGGTTAAAGTTTATTTCCACACAGACCTTAATCATCCTGCTTGGGTCAGTTCAACCGACGGTTCTAATGAGGAGGGGTTCTTGTAAATCACATAGAAGGAAAGTAAAAAAGGTTTTTCCCCCCCATTCAGCCCCGTTGTCAACATACCCCGCCTTTGGTGTATCTTCATCGTAAAATATTCCTGTTTCTCCAGCCCGTCGTCTTCTTTCGCAGAGGTCACTTAAATTAGCAGACTTCACTCCCCTTCTTCACTTGAAATATGTGCATTTGCTTCTTTTGTAATTAATTATTCCAAATTGCTGCAACTAGTGCGCGATCAGAGACAGCATCCAGGAGAGCCGATGTCCACACGGGGGCATTCTGCCTAGGGCCCTCACCCCCTTCTTTCGAATTAGGGGGTGATTTATGGGCACAGCAGGCAAGGGCAGTGTTCCCCATTTCCTTGGGGCAACAAGGGAGGCTGCCTACTCCCATAACAGCCTCTTAATTACCCCGTGTGGGTCGGAGAGATGGTATTGTCGGCCATCTTCCAATGCGCCCCCTAGTGGCCCCTGGGCTGCAAGACGTTTTGTAAGGAGGACTATTTGAAATATTGCAAGAAAGACTATTCGTTAATGATAATTAAGAGTAATAGAGAAATACAGAATAAGTGATAAAGAATGAAAAATTATCAGAGGTGTTGACGGAAGTCTAAAACATTGTATAAGATAAGAAGTTATGTTGTTGGAAATAGTATTTTAAAATAGCATGTATATATACAGTGGTGCCTCGGGTTAAGTACTTAATTCGTTCCGGAGGTTTGTTCTTAACCTGAAACTGTTCTTAACCTGAAGCACCACTTTAGCTAATGGGGCCTCCTGCTGCCGCCGTGCTGCTGGAGCACGATTTCTGTTCTCATCCTGAAGCAAAGTTCTTAACCTGAAGCACTATTTCTGGGTTAGCAGAGTCCGTAACCTGAAGCATACGTAACCTGAAGTGTATGTAACCTGAGGTACCACTATCTATCTATCTATCTATCTATATATATATGAATTTGTCACACACTCACGCACACATACACAAGAATTTGTAAATCTGTCTGTGTGTCAGGGAATGGTCTGAAGACGAGGACTGGGGAATGCATTCCTTGGCAGACCAGCTTCTCTCCGATGGAGAGTGGGGAGGGAAGAGTCCCCCCCCCCTTATCCACAGCGTGTTCAGTAGCAGAGAGAGAGAGAGATGGAAGCTGAACAGCTTAGGGAGGAGTTACCCAGTTATGATATAATGACAAGGGAACCAGAGGGGAGGGGGCAGCTAGTGGAGACGTCATTTGAGAGTGTGGGGGACCCCCCCTCCACAGACTCAGAGGTCCGAACGTATCAGAGAGCAAAGGAGTCAGAGGGAGGGAGGAACTTCCTGTTGGCGCCCAAAATGCTGGAGAAGTCAGGGGGAGGATTTAGAGTAGCCAACTGCCCTCCTTGCGGAGAGCTGAGTATTTGTGCTTGCAATATGATGCTGTAATAAGAAGACTATAAATCTATCAACTGCTCATTAATTCTTATCTGTGAAGACACCGAAGGGAGTGGAGGACTCTCCACGCCTGACACTGTGCTTGGCTACCCAGAGCTTAAATACATGACTTTCACACACCCTTTCAAACACATGCATTTGGACAAGATCCCTAATTTGGGGGGGGGGAGAGACCAAGAATACAGGACAAAACTCTATTATTACAGGATGTAGCATTTTACATTCAAATACGGGACAACCCTGTATTATACAGGACAAATGGCAACCCTGGAGTACAGCCTTTGTTGTTGTTTAGTCGTTTAGTCGTGTCCGACTCTTCGTGACCCCATGGACCAGAGCATGCCAGGCACTTCTGTCTTCTACTGCCTACCGCCATTTGGTCAAACTCATGCTGGTAGCTTCAAGAACACTGTCCAACCACCTCGTCCTCTGTCGTCCCCTTCTCCTTGTGCCCTCCATCTTTCCCAACATCAGGGTCTTTCCCAGGGAGTCTTTTCTTCTCATGAGGTGGCCAAAGTATATGGTCAGCTTCAGGATCTGTCCTTCCAGTGAGCACTCAGGGCTGATTTCCTTCAGAATGGATAGGTTTGATCTTCTTGCAGTCCATGGGACTCTCAAGAGTCTCCTCCAGCACCATAATTCAAAAGCATCAATTCTTCGGTCATCAGCCTTCTTTATGGTCCAGCTCTCACTTCCATACAGCCTTATCTTCCATCAATTTGTCTAATACTTTTCAAAAGCCTTTGACGTTGGTGACCATCACTATTTCTTTTGGAAGCAAACTGCATAATTTAACTACGCACTGTGCAGAAAACTTCTTTCTTTCTTTCTTTCTTTCTTTCTTTCTTTCTTGTCCTGAATCTTCTGACTTTCAGCTTCACTGGACACCCCCAACTTCCAGCGTTATGAGAAAAGCCTACCCACTTTCTCGCCCTTTCTCTAAGCTGAAACCAGCCCAAATGCCATAGCTGTTCCTGATGGGGGAGCTTTTCCATCTCACAGGATGGGAGAGAAGGCTAGGAACACTGACCTCTAATTTGACTTAGATATCATCACATAATCAAATCTCATAAAGTCACAAAGCCAAAGTGGAGCAAGGACATTGCTTCTTCACCACACTCTGACATGTTGTGGTTTTTATTTATTTCATTTATTTTTTAAAAAAAGAATAATAAGAATATAAAAAGTATTCAGCAGTAGTGTAGAAGGTGATCATCACTCTGCCTTAAAAGAGAATGTTATGAAGATGGTCTATCGTTGGTATCTCACTCCCACCAAATTGGCAAAAATGTATAGGACAAGTAGTAAAACTTGTTGGAAATGCAAGGAAAAGGACAGCGACT